ACACAAGCCCTATATGTTGTGCACAACAAGGCTTGCAGATGGTTCAATTCGGTAATTGGGCACCGCAGAACCCGCGCATATTGGGGAGCTATTGGTTGCACTGACCATTCCCGTGTGTTATTAAACTGCACGTGAAACCGAACTGCGTATGCATTGCGAGAAAGGTGGACTACACCCGGCCAATTACCAACTTGTTTTCAAGTCTAGGTGAGACCTTAAGTCTTGGCTTGTTGGCAGTGGAGTAGGGAGGCCCAAGACCTGGATCATGACATGCTGGAGTATGCAGAGATGGGACTCAGCAGGGGTGAGGCTAGCCGCGGAGTTGATGTCGTCTTTACCAGAAGAGAATTCACGGACGTCTGAGGGGGAGTGCAAATAATCTCCTTGGGTATCCGAGGCAGAGCCAGTTCGGAGGCATGGTGAGCAGTAGCGATGGCATCCAAACCGGTGTTGAAGACCGAGGCTTGCCTGACATAGACAGGGTTCTCTGGTGGGGGAGGTTGGGATGGCGGCACGGCTGGGAGTGAGTCTTGATCTTGGGCCGTGGTGTTTTAGTTGCAATTGGTTGACAAGGCTGGAGAGAATGTTCGAAAGAGCCTGGAAAGCCATAGTGATAGAGGCAGAGTCCCAGTGCTTGGATGAGCGTGATTTCTTGGTGTAGTTCCGGTTGAAGAGAACAACGATCTCTTGCACCTCTTGTGGCAGGGAGAGCCCACGGAGAAATTCACCGCGGAGGTAGGCTTGGTGGTAGCCTCCGCTGGTTGGTTTGGTTACAGGCCACCGAGTGGTGAGGGTTGCATAACCTGGCTCACGGAGGTGGATGGTGCGGAGGGCCCTGGACCCAGGCCGGTGGTACTGCGAGCTTTATGCGAGCTTTGATGGCATAGTAGACTGGTGGGATCAGCCATTCTGGCTGTGGCAAGTGATCCGCACTTCAATGGCTCATTCAATGGGGAAGCCCCAGAAAGTGATTTAGAACAGCCCATGCTTCACCCTCTTCAGTTTCATGCCTTTTTGCTCTTAATGTGGAGTCCAATGGAAGGCAGAGGCATGAAGCGGGCGGTATCATTGGAGGTGTGGGCTCACTTCTGCGGGGTGTCTGCACTGCCATACCATCTGGTGATACCAAAAATGGTACGGCCGCCTCACAATGGTCCAGTGGCCTCCACTGTCTTGGCTGGGATAGGGGCTCGGGGAGCCCTATTACACACGGAGGACCAGGACGACGTCAGCCCGGTTCTCTTAATCCCTTGTGGTGCTCAGGACAGTGTACCCCCCCTAGACGCACAGCTCCCGCACTGGTGCTGATAATGAGTTATCGGAACCAATACCAGGCTCTGAGTCGATGTGCCCAGTTGCTCCCACAATGACCGGTAGAGACTCCAGATATGCACAGAGACACAAGAAAACAAAAGAACACAAACGGCATTTAACCTCTGGTCTTGCGTGTAACCACGAGGGCTACATATCCCTGAGTTATTGAAAGGGTAGCAAAGGGGGAGCCTTAAAGGGATCCTTACCGAAGCAATGTGCGGTAAAAATGACGACAAGGGGGACTGACAAAATGACTAAAGTGTGTGATAGTCTGGGGACAAAGAAATACTTATACAGACCAGTATAATGCCATAAAGGGTGACTACTGGCCCAGGGAATAAATTATCGTAACAGCGGGCCAGGTAAGACCTGTAAAAATATATGAAAGCAAACATAAAACGTAACTTTTCTAAAAAATATGACAGAATAGTGGCACAAAAAGATATGAGATAAAAGTATGATACAGTAAAATATTTAAAGGTTGATCATGCTTGGGATGGACTGATAGTGGGCGCACTACGGTTGATAAAATATTTAGCGAATAGCAATAGAGCACTAGGGAAATATGCATATGGAGTGACTGTCTGGGTAAGTTGACCGCGGTGGACATGTATTTTGATGATCTTGAAGCGTATGACTTGTTATTGAGTTTACATTTTCAAAGTGAGGCAAACGGAGAATGAAGCTGAGTATAGGAACTCCACCCTCATGAAAAAATTAAGAAGACAAGACAAGACTGTAAACTGTTGGGTTCAATGTTTTCTTGCAGATACACTTACGGCTGAGTTGGCAACATTTTGGTGAGGGTGGGGCAACTTTTTCCCTGCTCTTCTCAACTGGTACACCACTGGTCACAGTTTTAATAATGATTGCTTAGTTTGAGTGAATTCTCTGTTCTTGTGATGTAGGCGTGGCACCATGGATGTAGCCACCACCAAGATGCTTAGCATCCATATCAGTGCTCTCCTCCCGCCTACATCCACTGAGCTGGACATACCCCACCTGGTGCAGGTGGCTGCGGTCATGGGCGTCGGGCTAGTGTACCAGGGCACGGCCCACAGGCACATCGCAGAGGTTCTGTTGGGAGAAATAGGTATGTGTGGAAGATGGTGCTAACCTTCTTTTCTTTAGACCTGAGAACATAGCAGGTCCACATGTTGGAGTTTGTGTGAACCTTTCACAGACTAAGCTAGGTCCACGTAAGGTTCCCCCCTCTGAAAACGAATTTCAGAGGCGTTTGGGGGGGGTCAGGGTAATCAGCAAAAGGAAGATAAAGGGAAAGAAATCAACGAAATTCCTGCTCAAAATAGTGAACACAGTCCAAGGAAGAAAGAATAAGTATTTTGTCCAAGTTTAAAACAAGGAAAAAGGAATGCTCGGACTTGGACTAGGTATTCAGTGCTAAAGTGTGTGGGTGTGTGTGTGTTTTTAGGGAGGTTCATTCTTGGCTCAAAAAGGAATCATCTGCAGACTTTATATTCTGAAGCATTTGCAGTAATAATTTGCATTGGTTCAGGGTCTTCAAATGCCACAGATTTGCCATGCATCGTAATACACATGTGGCTTCATGTTGAATTTCCAAAATGCAAGTCAAGAATGATTTGCTGTGTTTACAGCCATTTGTTAAGGAAGAAGTCAGTGCCAAAATATTAACTTAACAATAATAACAATTAACAATTTAACGATATCAAATTTTGTAGAAATAGTGCAGTGTCTATGTTACACATACATGTACATTCAGTGCTACCTGAAGCATTTTTGCTGAATAGGAGGCGGGAAAGTACTCAGTTTTACTAGATGGAGTCTGACGGGGAAAAAAAGACTTGGATTCTGCCTTTTCATTCCAGGTCGTCCTCCAGGACCGGAGCTAGAGAACTGCACTGACAGGGAGTCTTACTCCCTGGCCGCTGGTCTGTCACTAGGGATGGTCATGTTAGGGGTAAGAATGGGTGGCAGTCAAACCCTTTAAGCTTGCCTGATGTTATGTCCATAGAAGTGCTGTTTTGGATTCCTTTTTGTCTTAATTCAATATCAGCATGCATTTATGATTTATTTGAAGTTGATGTCACCCGTTTAATTTTTGTTTTTTGGTCAGTGTGTTGCCAAATATTTGTTTGCCAGCTAGCCCGAGTAAGACGGTAAAAATGTTTTCTATGTGTAGAGCACTATGCTCCCGTGGGTACAATGTCTGGCTCATTTTCAGTGTTACATGATTCTTGACTCACGATTGACACCATGGTGCTTATTTTCTTGGGCAAGATTTTTACTGCAGTTGGCTCTCTCCAAACTGGATCACCAATTACCAAGGTTAGAGAACAGGTTGATCTCAAAACTGCTACTTAAAAAGCTGACCGTGATTTTTAAGAGAAGTACCTAATGTGACTGATGCTCATACTTTGCTATTTTCACCAATGCCCAGCATGGGAGCAATGCTGTTGGATTGTCAGATCTCAACATGGCTGACCAGCTTTATCACTACATGGCAGGAGGTTACAAGAATCAACCGGTAGGCTCTACCAGAGTGTTGAGACGGGCTTTATGCTACACGTAAATGTCTGTGGGATGCAGATTAGAAACCAAGAAACATTCTGTGTTGAATGGGAGTAAGGCACCCAGGTTTACCTCGGGGGATGGGCTTGTTTATATGTAAAAGATAAGTTGACGTAACAGGTGGCTGTTAATATTTTGCTTTTGTTGTTTTCCTATCTGAATTGTGTACTTACTCCAGAATAACTACTATTCTCAGATTTCATTGTACACTCTAATTCTGCATACCTATCTCGAGCTGTATATCCCCAAATGAAGACCATTTAAATGGAATGTTAACACTGAATTTTGAATGGCACTGGTCTCTCATTGTGCGTCATATCGACAGAGTGGAGCAAACAGGGAGAAGTTTAAGTCCCCCTGCTACCAGATCAAGGAAGGGGACCAGGTCAACATTGATGTCACGTCACCAGGAGCAACTTTGGCCCTAGGCCTGATGTTCTTCCAGACAGCAAACAGGTCAGATCATTAGCTGTACTTAGAATTTGTGAGTTAGAGATCGCAGTAGTTATACGTGGTAAAAAACATGATTTACGCAATATTGAAAAAACCAAGAGTAATGTTTTTATGTGTACCATGGAACGCCAAAATATCCGGCCAAACAGCCGTTTGGTAGAACAGTTTTCAGTCACAGATGCACCCACCCATTCCTAACTCTGGCTGATTTTCAACGTACTGGCCCACCACACAAAATGTTTCGGTATGAGGATTTTGGGCCAAAATTTACAAGCAAAAGAAAAACTCCTGTATGTTTTTCTAGTGTGTCAATCTCCTTCATGTTTCACCTTTTGGGTCATCCTCACTGGAAGTAGAATTCAGAAATGAAATCAAGATTTTCTTGAGTCATCAGTTGAAAATCGTATGTGACATGCAGGAACAGTGACACTTGTCAGCACTGGGACCTATTCAAATACAGTTACACTGTAGATGCAATTATGAACATGTCCAAAGTCGCCAACCATATGTCAGCCAAGCATTTATGAAAACAATCGAAACTAGCAAGATATTTATCAAAGATTTCTGCGAGTCATGCAACAAATGCTAGTGTCTATCTGTGCATTTATTTCCTGTTTGGTAGTTTCTGAGCTCAAAACTCCCGGCTTTGTAGCAGTTATCATGCAAGGTTTTCCATACCAGAGTTGCCAGTATTGCATAACACACATGTACATGTACTTGGCAGGCGGTCCAGTGCGTGGCCACCCCTTGATACATGCATATTATATGCGATTTATGCTCCCTACTGACGATGATACAGACCATGTCACGTGTTGGCCAACTGTCCTCAACCTTTCAGTTATCATCAGTTCTAAATATGTTTTTTTATTTAAAACAAATCTGTAACGTTCAGTAAAAGTGTACAGAAACTTTGCAAGCCAAGGGGGATGTTCAGTATCCCAGAATGTTTGGTATAGCGGTGTTTGTTATAGCGGCATTCTACTGTATATCCATTAGGGAAGCTATCATGTAATGAGTTAAACAGGTGGATGATGGACCCTCTGAGTAGGGCAGTAATATCTTTTTGTTTTCTTCATTTCCGTCAAAAATGCCAATTGATCACGTAATTTGACACACAGGGCCGTGTCCCAGTGGCTGACTGCCCCTGACACCCAGATCCTGCTGGATTTTGTCAAACCGGACTTCCTACTTCTAAGGGTAAGTAGCATTTCTTGTCCATGTCAAACAGGTATTGAGTCTTGTCTTCAACAAGAATTAATCCCTGATGAGGGAAGCAGTGTATAGAAGGCTGCATTTATCAAAAGTTGAAGAGTGCCCGCATATCCTTCAGAACCTCAAGAACAGCCTTAGTCACGGTCCCAAAATTCTTCTAAGTGCAGGTACAATCTTTGATCATTTTCCCTTTGAAGCAAGTGTGTGATCACTTGAAAAGTTGTTCATTTTACACGCAAGTCCACAGAGCAAAATGAATATTTTTACAACTGATTTATTGCAATTATGTTTCATCATTACTGAACTGAACTGAAGTTGAAATTATAAGTGTGAATCCAGGAGTGTTTTCAACTTCTGCCAACACTGTCGTTGTGTACCACTCTTTATGATCTTTTGGTATCTTAAATGGAAATCATTTGTGAATACTGGCCAACTGATTTTATTAGGGGAGTATCTCCCTTAGTTAAATAGTCTTGGATGTCCCAGATCCAGGTCGTAAATGTTTGAAATAGACTGTGGTTTTTTTCACCCTGACTGTTACAGACATTGAGTAAGGGCCTGGTGATGTGGAACGAGATTGAACCGACCAGTGAGTGGATCCAGAACAATGTCCCTGAGGTATTTGCTGCTTTATTCACAATTGGGGATTTTAATGGGCTCTCATTTAGTCTGTGTATTAAAGAATGGATTTATGGCTTGCGTATTTTGCTTTGTGGTTGTTGGGATCAAATAAAAGGGTGCTGTACTTACTCAAAGCGGAAATGTACAATGTATAATGTACAATGAATGTATCCTTTCAACTCAACCCCCACCTTACCAGCTCCTATCCCCCAGCGTTTAAAAACTTAAGTCCATGTTATATTTTCACATTTCATTATGCCTCATTGTCCTTGGCCAACTCCTTTTCAATGAAACTTGTATGTTTTAAAGAGAGTTTGATGGTTTGTATATGTCAATACTTCATTATCTGAATCGCATGCATGAAATATCAGCATCAATTGTAAAGAACACACAATTATTTGTTGATTGATATATAAGAATGATATTGATATCAATCTAATGATTTGCACCTTTTCTGCTTCAATTAAAGCTGTGTGACCCTGTCTTTCCTGTGAATAAAGAATGCGTCTATAATTCACTGTTATTATACTCAAGCCAGGTTTTTTCCCAGACTTTTGAAATTTGGGAGGTAATTGGTTCATGATTTATGGTTCAATATTTTGATGCTTGGAAAGATTTCTTTAAGCAAACAAACGAAATTGTAACAGACAAGGTTAATTGGAATAAAATGAATACTTCATGTACTGTTTATTCATTAGATTGTGAAGAGGTATGCCTTCAAAAGGAATGTCACAGCACAGGAAGATCTGGATATTGATGTTGATTTGCAGAAAATGAGGTATCATTCTTCTGAATCTAGTCCACCCATCTTTAACCTTTGACTTCAGTCGACTTGAACCCTGAACAACTTCTTATATGAACAAACTATGCCCGGCATTGCAAATTTGACCCAACCTATAAAAATGTGGCACAGATCACCAGAGCTACTTTGCAGTACATGTACATGTAACAGGCCAGCGGTTAATGTCGCAAAATGTGGCTATCCATGCACCATGTGCCATCCTCAATAATAAGATGCACTTTTAATATATAAAGCTTGGTTTATTACAAATTTGTTTCATGCAGCTTATTCCAGATTTTAAAATGATAGCTTTATTAAGTTGGGCCCTAAAATGTTGCACAAAGGGGAGTTCACTGAAATCAGCTGCTGGCCTTGTATTAATCTTCCACAAAGGACATCAACAGGAAATGGGAGTGTTGCCACATTAATATCCTAAATTAAAACCAAACAACTAAAACCATACAAATATACACACACAAAATGACCTTGAGATTCATTTTGTGGGAACCAGTCACAACATCTTTCCTGGCGGTGTCATTTTCAGCCAGGCAGAGTGCAACATCTTAGCGGGAGCCTGCATGGCCATGGGTCTTCGGTTTGCTGGCTCTGCCAACAACAGTGCCTTCCAGTGCTTGGTGAGTATCCTATGAAGTTTTCTTTCATTTCATTCTTTTAACCAGTTCAAGCCAGATGACATCTAAACATTGAGGGATTTCTTTTCCACTAGGCAGAGGATGTGTAAACAAATTCTGGTGAAGTCTGTGATTGCCTTAAGCTTGTACACACACATACATGACATACTAGTCTGTGAAGGTTGAGCATGTGTGGAGCCCTCAAGCGACCATGGGCAATGGCCGGATGTTTCAGTAAATGTTGTTCTGCAACATAATCTCAGAGTTTTAAAAAGCAACGATGCAGTAAGAAATATAATGTCCCAATTTTTTAATGACCACCAGGGGTTAGCATTTGTAAAATCCAACTTTGCAAAAGACTTTGGTTATGGTCATTTTTATGAAGTTGGTTCTTTCAACTGATAATACCATCGGCAGGGTTTTAATTGTGACAATCAGTAATTCTGATTTGACCATAAAAACTGTCTGACGATGGAACCTGATTCACGTTTGTCATATGCATATGTAATTGACGTCAGCTTGAAATAGTTTCATAGACTCTCATGGTTTTTATTTTTATATTTTTATACAAATTGTATTAACTAGGGGTGTCTGAATTCAGTTTTTTTAGTTGATTACAGTTATTTTGTGTTTCGATTTTTCCTTTGAATTCCAGCTTTTTTGTACGCCTGTGTTCAAAGTTAATGGAACTTTTTGAATTTCAGCTTTTTATCACCGGTAGTTATTTTCAGCTTTTTTTTATGCGGCCACTCACGCCCCTGATTAAACTGAACCATGACACATTGTTCATGAGGATTCAGTTGAGTGGGCAGGCCTTTTTTATGAAAAATTGTGGTTTTCCCCCTTTTGTTTTCCCAAAGTTTTGCATCCCTCCAGTGTCCTTCCAACACACGTAGCAGTTAGCAGAGTTCTTGGCACAGCTGTCAGACACCATTCAGTGAACCTTTCTTTTACTTGCCAAACTCGACCACCATTTCATGTGGGCAATCATAATTTGCAAGTTTACCCCTCAGTCATCAACAGCTATCACCTCAAAAAAGCTCATTTACTTCATTAGTGTCAAAAGAGAGAAGCATTCATCATGTGTTGTTTTGTAGCAGTATTAGCATTTTTAACAGATGCATGAGTTTTTTCAAACTTTGTAAATTATCCTGTTTTTTTCTTTTACTGATAACCAATCATTTGGAATTTCTTCTGTTGAGGTTTAAACAGGTTTATAGGAAAGTTTATGGGAAAGAAAACTACAGAAAACTGTAGAAGTAAACACTAAATGGCAGGGGATGATAGATGAGGAAGTTTTGGGGGTTATTTTCTAGACAACTTGGCAATGAGCGTCTCACCTCGGACCTTCATGTAAGCTTATGACATCATACAGATAGAGCTGGCAGAATATAGACATGAGTTAATAAATATACAAAGATAAGATTACAAAACTATTGATAAAATCAGCCTGTCAGGGTTTCATAAGTCTTGAGAAGAAAGGCCAATGACTTGTCGAATACTTTTGTCCCAGAATTTAATTTTGACAACCCAGTGATGGTCTGAAGTTTTTGATTCAATTTGTATTCTCACCTTTGTGCATTCGCCACCTGATATGCTTTTCATCTTTGGTCACTCCTAAGCACCTCTACCACAACACTGGTGTGGGGAGCACTATTGGTAGACATACACTGTAGTGGTGGGACCAATGCGGGTAAACTTTGTTTTGAACCAAACAAAGAATCAAGAAAAAATGAGATATGTATTTTAAAAAATTAAAATTAAGGCTCAGACCTTTGACTTTGTTTTAAATTGAGGCCTTTCTGGTGGTGCCACATGTACCCTAAAAAGCAATTGCTTAAAGCTTTTGTGCTAATCAGTGATTTTGTCAGGGAGAGGTGTAATGGGAAGAAACTTGAGTATTGTGGCAGTTTTTTGGCATGGTTTATTTTTGATAGTACAGTTTATCTTGTTGATTTTTTCATTTCACCCACCATAAAACTTGACAAGAAATGAAATCTCGTGTAAATAATGCAACTTCTTTCAAATTCGTGGTACACTTTTCTTGGAGTGTACAAGATAAAATGCCTTGAGTGTCTTACTTTTTGAAAGGTTATACTATTACTTAAAATGTCTTACAATTAAATGACTTTATTTTAGTCATTTATGTAATTTTGTTCTTGTTAAGAATTACCGGACAGCGTGCATCCAGAATGCATGTTAATCCTTGATAGAAATGTTTCCCCAATGGTATTGTTGTGCAAAATTATGTATCAGTACCAAAATATGTCAGTTTTTAGGGGGTGAATATTAGTACTTTAATTGTTATTCAAATATTTAATGTTTCATATCAAACTTCCTGAAAGGATGAATGAACAAAAAGATTTTATAAAGGAAAAGAATTTTTTCATAGTGAAGAACTAGTACATGTGAGACTTAGTTAAAGGTGACAGATATTTCCAGCACCTTTTAGGATGTGAATTAAATTTGCATGAATTCAAATAATATAATATATTTATTGGTTTAATGGATTTAAAACAGAGAATTTGAAAAAGTTCATGCACTGGCAAGACAAGTGTTCCAAGCTCAAGAACAGCCTGCCAGTGCTGATTTCAAGCTACCACATTTTAAAATACTTCAAATGATACATTTGGATCATTTAAAAAATCCTGATAATAATTATCTTCATTAACTCTTTCATTAAGTAAATGTAACCATTTTAAAAAAAAACTCATGACATTTAGTATTTAATCATAAATGTAGGTAACGTATAATCAATCTAATAAAATATTACTTTAAGCACTCCTTCCTTCAAGCAGTAGATGTGGCAGACGTGATTTGACTGCAGCTTTGTGTACATGTACGTGACATCACCATTGTTTATCAAAGACAATGCATTGCCGTGACTGGAAGTGTTATGTAATCCAGTGTTGTGTTATGTAATTTCTCCTTTGATACTTTGCTGGCCGTAACACACGTTAAACCAGCTCTGATCTGGGGTTGCACATCCCTATTTAAAGGGTCCGTGGTTAAATTGATTTATGATAGAAATGAAACGTACTGTGTCTTTTTTTTTCTGTACATAGCTCCACTACGCCCAGCGGTTCTCAAGTCTAGCTTCACAATCAATTTCAGAATTGGTGAGTAACTTGTGAAATTGTATGGTAGTGAACAATTAAAACTTGGGAAAAGTACCTCCTGAAAATGCTTTATTTCAGACCAGACATCTGTTTTGCTTATCACTTTGATTCTTCTCCAGTTGAAAATTAACAAATTTGACTGTTCTTGTTTTTCTTTTCCAGGCCGGCAAGTCAACCATCGACACATGTCAAAATGCGGTCCTTCTCTCTGTTGCCATGGTATTACACTTTGCATTTGTTACATCACTTTCTATTGCTTCCCCCACTTACCTGTTCAAACACAACTACATTCATTTTGACACTCAATGACATTTCACACTTGCTCGGGCCTGGCCCAACAGACAAGCCCACCAAGCTGGTTACTCAGAAAATATCTACAATACAAATATGAAATTTGGCTTTCAAGTCCATCATTGCAAAGGACAATTGACACCATTGTTGTCAATTACTTTGAAAAAGAGATGAATGTAATGGCATATCAGCTAAGTCAACTAAGTTCTGTGAAAGTAAGGTAGGAAATGTGAGTTTGGACATCTTACTTTCCACTATTCAGATTCATTTTGCAAATTTACTTGACGTGTGACCTCTTCAAGTTGACCTGGTTGGGGCTTGTTCATCTGTTACCATATATTGCACACATTTGTGTAAACCTGTGGCACCATGACTAAGTGCATGTGAAGTAATCAAATATGCTGATAGTGGATTTGTAGGTGAGGGGCTTGAGAGCTTGTAGCCTCCAAGCCCACACTAATATAACTTTGAGACACTCTAGACCTTGGCACTGCACTACATGTATAGTTACCTGAATTGCTCTCTTAACTTACGGTTTCCCTGTTTGAAGAGGCTAGTCATCTTAAGTACTAAAGGACTATGTCAGTCAGTCAGTCATTGCGACCTCAGCAGAGTATTAGCCACGAATACCCAGGATGTACACTCTATCAGTAATGGTCTATTTTCCATGCATCAGGCCCAATGTTTCTGCATAGTGTGTTGATCAGCTTAAGTTGTGGAAGCACACCCTCCACTTTAATGACTGTGTCCTTCCTTTGACCATGGAGGTTGCTTTATACTGCAATCCTCAAACTGGACGCTCCCCTTGAAGACTGGTACACATGCCCCAGGAAGACTGGTTCTGTGTATTTGAATACACTCTTTTTGACCGCATTGTTGTTTAGGTGATGGCTGGGACCGGCAACCTGGAAGTTTTGCGCTTTGCCCGCAGGCTGCACTTCAGCCTGGGCAACGAGACCAGCTATGGCAGCCACATGGCAACCCACATGGCTATTGGCTTGCTGTTCCTGGGAGGCGGGCACCACACACTCAGCACGGCACCCATGGGCGTCGCTGCACTCATCTGCAGCCTGTACCCACAGTTCCCAGTTAACAGCAACGACAACAGGTAAGGGATTGACAGATACAAGAGCCTGTGACTGGCTGAGTTGCTTTTTCTCACAATTCTCGTCAATTTGATTTGACCCTATCACCAGATCATCACAAGACCAACACGAGACCCTCAGTCTGAACAAAAGTCACACGCCGTTCAAATGAAATCAAATGCAACAAACACATTCACTCGTTACTGTTCAACGTGTTACTTATGATGGTCTTGTGTGTTGTACTTTGTCTGCTCTTGTGTTTGGTCCTGACTGTAATGCTTCTGCCTGATTGTAATTGTTCATCCCAAAGACGTGTATATATTGAGAGGTTCTAGACTGAGACATGTCCTCCGCACAGAGTATGTGTAACTATGAGGGTTTTCGAAACCTTGGTCTCATCTCCAGCCTTAGCATCAGGCCTTTCATGTTGTGAATTTATTCCTAGATATCACAACAGGGTTCCCAGCCATGCTTGAAATCAGGGAAAAGTCAGGGAATCTGATTGACCCAAAAGATAAAATGACCACTTGGTGATATTTTGTCTCATGTCATATCCAAACAGCATATCCACTGGAGAGTTGGCTATGGTTGCTTTAGTGTGGAAAACTATCTTAGGCTGGGAAATAACTGTCATCGAATTTTGTAAATTCATAAGGAAAAATGTGGAAATTTTATCTTCATGAAATGCTGAGAAGCCTGTTTTCATTTCAGTAACAAACAGTAAACAAATGAGGTATGTGCCCTCATGGGAGTAGGCTTTATACCTCCCAAACATAGGGTCAAGGGTTTAAATCCAGCAGCTGGACACATGTTGTGACGTTTATAGGGAAGTCGCTTTACTTCCATTTGTCTCTCCACCAAGGGTGTAAATGGGTACCCCTGAGGGCAGGGATTGTTTTTGTAGTAGTTGAAACGGCAGCCTTAAATGTATAGAGCACTAAAGTGAAGTCGCACGTACAATTATGTGTGTAAAAGGTATTAGCTCAAGATCGAGTGAGTGAACCATCACACACGTGTACTCCATTAGTTTGCACTGCACTTCCTGGTTCAAAATGATGTCGCATACTTCGTTACTCTATACTTTCCCAGGGAGCTGTTTATATTGAGTATGTTTGCATGCCTTTGCAATGCCAAATGAAATGCACATTTTCACTATACATCATGATGATGATATTTACATACTAGGGATGAGTCATATCAAATAACTGATTATTCAAATATTTGGCCAAAATTCAGTCAAATGTTTGAATCAGCCAAGTCCCTGGAAAAGCTTTTTTGTTGATTAACGTTCACAATATTCTGACTATTACTTTTTATTAGTTTGCCACTGGAAGCAGAACCATTATGTTGTTTTTTGGATGGTGTTAGAAGGCAATTTTATCCCAAAGAACCTGAGTTTCCTCTTTATTTCATTTTATTGTCCACATTTGGAAACTTACTGTGAAAATTCATGTTGCATAAAATACATCCACAATTTAAAGGAATAAAAGTTACAAAAAAAATTTACACAAATAACAACTACATCACATGGAGGTTAAAAATTATCACTCCGATTAACATGAAAAGAAAAACACATACGCATATTTATATACCTATTAAAAAGACATGTAAAATTATAAAACTTGATTGGATCGATCAGCAACTCGTAAATAGAATACATGCAACTAAATAACTGAGAACCGTCAGTTGTGTATGCTAGAGAGGTGAAAAGGCATCATAAGAGTATCAGCCAATGAATGATTTCAGCTAGAATAAGCTAAATGAAAAACCAATTTAATTATATAAATATGTTACACATCCGACCACCATTCAAAAAAGTATGAAAACTGTGGGGCTACCGTGAATCCCATAAAACGCAGAAAAGTGCAGTATCCTAAAAAAAATGACACCAAACTGTGTAAAAGACATCAGCAGAAAAACCTCAATGAAACATGATGCATATGGGTGGCGTACTTCCCTTGGATTGAAGTTCGATAAGTTGACGTAAGGTTTACACATTTTCCCTTTTTGCCCCAGGATTGAGTTATTTGTCATGAAAGTCCTTTAATTTTTACGTATGTTACTCTTCCAGGTACCACCTGCAAGCTTTGCGTCATCTCTATGTGCTTGCAGCTGAGCCCCGCTTGATTTTACCTAGGGATGTTGACACTGGCAAGCCTTGCTATGCGCCCCTGGAAGTCATTTATAAAGTAAGTAGCTCCCATTAAGCTTTTTTTTTTCATTATGGTGTATTTCATTGTTTGTAGTGTTTTGTTTTGTCGCTGCAGCATGTTGTGTTGTTGTGTTGTGCTGTGGTATTGTTATATTTTTTCTGTCACGTCAGGTTGGATTTGGGGTCTGTACTGCATTTTGGCCCTGACCACATTGTTTTTTTCTGTTGTAAGGTAAATTAGAACTGAGTTTTGGGGATATTGCTACCAGTATCTTTCCCAATGATGGTTTTGGTCTCCACCAAAATACATGTACTGACGAGTGTATTTCTTCAAAATCACAGAAGTGGCTTTGTCTTTGTTTTTCTGAACTCATGAGGCAAACCTGTATTAATCCTTCAAGAGTTCTTCCATAACAGCAGAGTGGCACTCCTTGCTTAGAAACAGTTGTCAGTTTCCAGTTGTCAGGACCTGCTTCAATAGTTTTGACTTCACTCAAGTGCCCATAATGTACCAGTGCATGTAGTTTCATTTGTAGGTTCCAAGGGTACTTTTATTCTGAACAAGATACTGCATTTAATTAACTTTTAGTGTTCTGAGACCTCCAACGATTGAAATATTCAGGATGGTTTGGGTTTAAAGAAGAATGTATGCAGAAATCTACCATGCCTTGACAAATGGGACACCTGCATGTATTAGAATCTTGAATACTTTGGCCAGCCTGAATGTGATTTCCCAGGACTTTATAATGTAAACACACTGTAGTCACAATTATAGGCATTCTTAAATAATGGCTATTTATGGCTATAATTCGTACACTTTTTCCATCAACTTTGTCTCTTGGTGGTCCTTTGTCCAACCATTTCTTAACTTTAAGATTTCTTTCAGTTTGGACTCCCAGACATTTCTGAACTCAAGGTGAACAGGTGATGTGTCATTTATTAACCCTAATGATCCTAAACCAGCCAACTCCAACACTAGGGTTTGTTGGAATCTGTTTGTACATGCTGTGTACTGGCTGTGTTTATATGTAGGATTAGGCATACCACAAACAAACAGTCCAACTGTTATGGTGTTAAGATTTGCAAGGATGTGGAAGTTTGCTTGTAAATCACCGTAGGGAGTTAGGGTTTATGTATTTTTCTTGTTTGTGGTATTGGGAAAATTGAAATTTTGGTTTTACATTTATATTTTGTGTTGCTGTGCTTCTAGGAATCTCCATGGTATGAAGAGCACACCGTGCGAATGCTGGCTCCCTGCATTGTACCTGAGCTAAAACATCTCAAACAGGTAGGACCCCACGTTCAAAAGTGAGATGATGATGTATGTTTAAATTAAAGAAATATAAACAATTTATCAACAAGGTATTTTGAGTACAAAAAAGGAAGATTTCTGCAGGTTTGGATAGCTGTTACAGATCACACCAAACCAAATAAATTAGGAGCAATTTGAGATAACCAAATTAATAAGGAACAATTAACAGGCAAACTTATAAGTAGAAACTCCACGATG